TCATTAAGTTCAACAAGATCAGCATACAACACATCACATAATTCAGCTCACATCATTCAACAAAAACAACATTAAACAAACAATGCGTCGTCCCGCATATCAGCTCGGAGATCTCCTACAACAGCTCAGCCTTACGGCCTACAACAGTTTATATCAGCATTCAACACAGCACAGCATAGCAGCAATAACAACATACAGCATACGGCACAGCTCAACTTTTACAACAATACAGCTTAAACATCATAATTCAGCATAAACATCTCACAGCACAGAAAAATCATCACTCAGCTCAACAACATTCATCATTAACAGCTTGAATTAGCATATAAGAAAGAACACATCCGTGCCCGGCGCAAGATTACTCGCGCCCGACGTGGACCAACCAGAGAGCTCCAAGGCTCAAACGCGCCCGGCGTACCAAACCCGCGCTCGGCACAGGGAAGGCAGAGACCTCCCCAAGGTCTCACGCCTGGCGCAATACTAATTGTGCCCGGTGCCCCCTCTGGTAGAGACTCCCAAGGAGTCTCCACGCCCGGCGAGACGTAGTCACGCCCAGCGCAATACCAGAACCCCAAAAAAAGTGAGTCCCTGATTGATATTGCGCCCAGCGCGGTTCAACCACGCCCGGCATGAGCCATCCAGGGGCTTCCATTCTCAAGCTCGCCCGGCACACACAACCTTGCGCCCGGCGGGCTTGACCAATAGAACCCTCTGATGGTCACGTGCCTGGTGCCAAGAACTGCGCCCGGCGTACCATCAATCAAAAACCCTCCAACTTCAAAAATTTCCACCAAAACCTGCAAAAACAAGCAATACATACACATGAAATTCACCCAAAACTCCACATTTTCATCACACAACACGAAAACCAACTCATTTTCAGCATGAAATCATAAATACATCAAAATCCCCAAATTTCACCCTTTTTCCCGAAACCCTAAAAAATGAAATTTCTTCAAATCAGCACCTAAATCATCCAACATCAAACAACTGATGAGTTCCTAAACTCATTTCAAGACAACCAGCACGAGTCTAGCTTCCCTTACCTCGGAGGAGAAGATTCCGAGCTTCCGGGAAGTGGAGGAGAAGAAAAAGGAGATCAACGGAGAAGAGGAGCTCTCAACCTTCACTCAGCACCTACAACACCAAATGGTTCCAGAGAAAATGAGACCAAGGCAAAGAGAGGGAAGAAGAGAGTATGAGATTGAATGGGGATGAAGTGAGAAAAGGAAAAGAAGGGAAGGGGTGGGTTGCGGGGGTCTCACAATAATTGGAAGAATCCTTCTCCGAAAATTTGACTTTTAACCTCTTACAAAACCTCAACAACAAATACAAGACAAAGAAAGAGAAAAAAAATATATAATAGAAATCAAAGCTAAAAATTGGATAATTACAATGTGGTGTGAAAACATCCTTATTTATATATTGTTAAAATCAGGGCAAACTTTTAAGCATGGTCATGCATCTCAGCAAGTACGGTTGTGCTTAAAAACCTGGGCGTGCTTCATTAAAATAGGAAGCATAGACGTGTTTATATAACATGGGCATGCTTGTCGTCTAGGGGGGCAATCTAAGGGGAGTACGAATGATGATATTTTGAGGCAAGCATACCAAGTTATTATAGTATATAAAAAGAGTACAACTTGTCGAACCTCAAAGACTTAGAAGATGCTTATAATTTCTACTATCCTAGTAAAAACTTGAATAGAAAGACTCACAAATATTATAAACATGATGTTGTCCATATTTCAATACTATAATTTTAAAAAGATAGCAAACAAAGCAGTAGTAAAATTGAAAGATATATAACAGCATGCAAAGCTATTGGGATTGAATTTCATCAATCTCACTCTTATGTTCTCCTAAGACCATATACATATGATTTCTATCATCTAATGTTATTGAGTTTATTAATATCATTCCAAATCAATTCCTTGCATTTAGAAATTCTAAGGAGTTTAACTTAATAAACGATTCCTTTATCCATCTAGTTAAAACCCTTTCATTAAGGGTTGAGCAGTTTGGCCTCTGCTTCAAATCTTGTTCTTTGCCTCTAAAGGGCTCAACTCTTTTGAAATGACTCGGTCCTTTGGACACTTAAGTAGATTGGAATTTTTTGAGATTTTGGATCTTCATTGAACCCTACAAGACATAAAACAAGAGTTTAAATAAAATTTTATAAACTAACTAATTTACGCAACTCTTTTTGAATTTTGTAATGGTTTAGGGTTAAAACACAAATTTCTTTCAAAACTAGTTAAATAAACGTCAAAAGAGTTAAGTCATTTATTTATGTAAAATTGACTCTTATCATCAATGACCGTGCATGTTGGCAAGTAAAGTTGTACTTCGTAACATAGTTGTGCATCTAGACATACTTCCACTTAAAGCACAATCATACATCAAACAAGCATAGTCATACATGACTTTAACCTTCATATTTACTCTATTTTATCCCTGGATTGCACTGATTTCATTTTTGTTCTTGTATCTTTTTTTATTTGTTTCACACTTAATAAAATAAGTGAAATATTACCAAAGACTTAACATTAAATTACAACAAAATAATAATGAATATGATGTTATTATACACATTTTGACATTTTAACAAACATTCAACCAAACATAAATAAAACAAGGAAAGATAGTTTCACTCATGCTTCCGGTGTAAATCCAAGACACACAACAAAACATATAAGCAAACAGTGTATCCAAATATAACCATGTACATAACAACTATATACATTATGTTATGCAATATTCTCTTCTAAACTTTAATGCACTTATGCATATGGCTCCAAGATTTAAATCTCAATAGCTTATAGAGTAGCTTAGAAGTGCATGATAGGTGACACACCTCACCATGGGTACATGTTTCACACTATCACTCTATCCTAAGATGATATTCACCATCGGCTAATTAAGGATTCAATCTTGTAAGGTACCCTATTGCATGGGATCAATACATAAGCCACACAAGGATCTAAACTAAGCTCACTCTCAAAATATAGATCCTATTGCATCGGTTTGTTTAAATTTTGAAAAAAAAAATAGTTTTAAAACCCCAACTAATATTAAACTCAGTCAAAGATATTGAGTTAATGGGTTTCTAGTTAAACCAATGGATCAATAATTGAGTCGTATAAATTGATATTTAATTAAGCATAAAAATTTAAAATAAATACTTAGTATAAAAATATTTAAATCAAACATATAACAGTTAGAAAAGTTGGTTCAATGGTCGCTTTGCTCCTATATACATAAGCTCACCTGGATTGAGTCCCATCATATGGAGCTCACCTGGATTGAGTCCCATCATATGGAAACTGCAACAATATTACAATGGAAAGACATACAACAACCATCAACTAGACATTGGATCAGACGTGCAACGGGCAAGTAGGAATTTCAAACGTTTAGTCCGTTACGAGTTAGAGCTCATTATTAAGTGTCAATTTTACCAGAATATCATGCATTTTTTTTTTAAGTTGGCATAACTTCATTCCCATTTTTTTTAAAAACTATTCAAGATAATACATTTTGTCAATATATGTATACTTATCCTGTTTTAGTTCAATTAATTATATCACTTTTTATTAATTATGGTGGATTTTGTAGGACAAATAGATTTAAAAAAAAATGGATAAAGAGAGGATATGAGAATTAGCGACTTGAACAAACTTGAAAGAATGAAAATGAAATACTCAGAAATTAGCTCCAGCATTGGAATAAAAGTTCAAGTGAATTTGAGATAAAAACTTAATAATGTGTTTAGACAAAGAATTTTACAAATTCAAGAAATTTTAAATTCTTGGTATTTGAATTACTTTAATTTTAATTTCTATTATTCTTAAAATATTTTGTTTGGATGAGTCAATTCAAATTTCTCAAATTTTAAATTATTAGGTTGTATATGATAATTTGATTCCATCATGGTAAAATTGATTTTAAAAATATATTTATATATTGAGATTTTTAAATTAAATTTTATAAAAATAAATATTAGTTAATTTTTAAATATTTAATAATTTTAAATTTTAATATTAAATAATTTTAAATATATTTTTAAATATTTAATAATTAAAAACATGAAGAGATAAGATAAAATATATAAGTAAAATAAAAAGAAGAAAAATATGAGAAATTTCAAATTTTTACTCTTTTAGGAGAAAGAGAAAGAGAATTTGAAATTTTATTATTTCAAGAATTTTACAAATGCTTGAATTTCAAATTCCTCTTCATTTAAATAAGTTATTTCACCTCAAAAATTTTGAAAATTTTCAAATAAATAAATTATTTCATTTAAATTATTTCGGCCAGATTTTAACTCAAGCAAAAATTCTAGTACTCAAACATTTGAACAAAAGTTCAAGTGAATTTTTGAATGCTTAAGCGAATTTAGTTTCTTCAACTTGAAGAATTCTTTTTGACTCAAACAAATTTATCAAGGTTTGAACAAATATGTAGCGATCAAGTTATAAAAATCACAACATATTTGATAGAGAACAACATACATTCTCCATACTCTCATCATTCCCATCAATCTTTCTCACTCCACCACCAAAGGCCATCAAATATATTATTATTATTATTATATGAAATTTGTTTCTAAATGATGTCCGTGTAGCAAAAAGGAAAAGAAAAAAAAAAGAGAATGAAATATAGCAATAACCAACTGCCTAATTGTTGCAACTTAATTAGTGGGTATATCACGCATTTTATGAATTTATTAAATGAAGCTAAAAATATATTAATAAATAAAATAATTTAATGTAGATGAACTGTGCTTTTTGTTTCATCCGCAAAATGAGTTTTATTGAAATGATAGACCACCAGATGCACTCAAAATATAATTAAGCAACTATTTTAATTATCTTCCGAATCCGATTTCATTTCAAACAAATTATATATATGGAGATCAAATAATTCCTCAGAAGACATGTAATCAACATCACTCAATTAAACTTAATTAGACAAAAGCTTGAACACAAACACAAGAATAAAGCCAAAACTTGTAGACTCACATTTTTATTAAGGCGATTGAAAGGTACAGTATGGTACAAACCAACAAGACTCATAAACTCTGCAGTGTACATCGTCACTCAGATATTAACATAGGCTCTCTCTCGCTCGAAGGGTACATAATACATACATAAGGCCACACTTTTATTATATATTATTCGACATACAAAACTTATTTAGTAATTATTTCGTATAAGATGGCCTCATGCAACATCATGTTAACAAGGTTGCTCTATTGAGAATCCGGGTTGACCAAAGGGCCCTGGTTTCCTAGGTACTTGAGCTCACGCACTTGACTTTGGCGAAGGTTGTAAGTGTTGGCAAGAACCTCTGCGGGAATTGCCCTAAACACCTGCTTCATGTGGGTCGTGGTGGCCATTTCGTTTGTCTTGAACACCACGTACTCAAATCCTTCTTCACTCGCTTGCTCCGCCACCACGAAGTTCTGTGGCACCACCAGCAACTGTCCCCTCTTTAGCACTCGGTCGAACACCGCGTCACCGGTGTTGTTCACCACTCTAACCTTTCCTTGCCCTCGAATCACGTAGATCACGCTGTTCGCGTTCTGGTTCCAGTGTGGAGCATATATTCCATTCTGCATGCACATAATATTAATTATACACACGTTAATTAAGCTAATGCAAATGTAGTAAAAATATGTACAACTTACAAGTTTGAGTCTCTCTATTCTATTGAGGAGTTTTTAAAAAATTTCTAAGTTTATATCTAAATAGATTCATATGGTATATTATAGAAAAGATCTTTAAAATATTTATCAAAATACATGGCGTATATTTTACCTTGTAAAGGACAACATATTGGGCACTGAGTCCGAAGGGGGTGAGAGCTGGGAAAGTGGCGCTGTTTAGGGTGCTGATGCGACCAGCTTTAGGGTTGTAGAAGTCGGCGCGTGAAGGGCGAGAAATGCTCTCATGAAGCTTCACAGTGCAGATACTTTCTTCAATGCCGTTCCCATGTTCCTTTCTTCTACTGTGTTTTGTCTCATATTCTTCTTCTTCTTCTTCTTCTTCTTTTTCTTCCCCTCCTTCTTCAGGTTTGGCGGGTTGTATCTTTTTCTTCCACCTCCGTTCTCGGCTCTTGTGCTCTGGCCCCTCTTCTTCCTTCTCCTCCTCCTCTTCTACCTTGTGCTTTCCATGGCTTGGTCGACGTGGACATGGAGAATGAGGTTCTTCTTCTTCTTCCTCTTTCTCTTCCCCCTCTTCATGTGAATGCTTTCCCTGGTGGCTTCGACCACATCGAGAGCGAGGTTCATCTTCATCTTCATCTTCTTTCTCTTCCTCTTGTTGCTGCTGCTCTTGCCCCATGGGGCTGATAATGCTGAGGCCTCCCTCCACTTTCACTATTTGCTTTCTGTCGTCTTCTGGAGACCGAAGCTTCTCGGCTAAGTCCTCGTCGATGTTGAAGGACTGTGCTAAAAAGTGTTTGCTGAAGCCACTTAGCACACTGCCAGCTTCTTCTTCTTCCTCCTCTTGCTGCTGCTTGCGTCCACCACCTCTCTTCTGTTGCTGAGGCTGCTCTTTTGTGGTCTCTGGGTTCTCTATATCAGGGTTCCCACCAAGGTAAAATACCTACCAAAGAAAAGATTAATAATAAAATGCAGAAAGAAATATTTTAAAGTAAAAGCACATATATAGTTGAGTTAATGAATGACTACCCTGGGTGATTGATCAAGGTTGTTGTGGATGCTGGAGGTGTAAAGAAGACTGACAGCAATAAGGGGTTCATCACCAGTGTTGAAGGTCCAGTAAGGAATTCCAGGGGGAATCAAGATAACATCACCTTGAGTGAATTGACGAATCTTCTGGTGACTGTCCTGTACATGCTGCTGCCTTCCTTTTCTGCTGGACCCTTCTGCTGGCTCCTCAAATGTCTCAGGACACCCTGGAACTGCAAGTCCAAAGGCACCCTGCCCTGTACCCCACATACATCAATCACCAAACAACCACATTTATGTCAGACCTCACACATTGTAATAATATATATGTGTGATAAAAAAATCATAAACATGATAACTCAAGTTTTTTATATTTAGAGATTATGAGATAAATATGTTGAACAACGTATAAGTGACTTAAAAAATACTCTAAACTACTCAAGATTCTGGATTGTTGAGTTAAAATGTAGTCTCAAGTTCACTTCTGGACGTGTTACTTTCCTCGTATGCCAACAATATTTGGCAACAATTTATGTACAAGTGATGAAATAAGGGAAATGAATTAGTTACCTTGGATGACGTGGATCAACTTGGGATAAGGTGAGTATGATGGCAAGTGGAGGCCATTGCGGTAGAGGGTGTGTTTGCTAACAGTGACGCCAGCACATTGTAGCTCAGGGTGTTGAGAATTGTATGTCTCGATCACACCACCTTCGGACTCAACACGTTGGTCGGGTTCCAATGCGTTGAGGCTGTCGAGTTGGCACTTGTTGAAGTTGAACGTGCTGAAGCTAAAGGCAAAGCATGCACTCGCCAAGAACAGCATGGAAAGAGAGAGAATGAAGGGCCTCGCCATGATGTTGAACAAGTAAGAGAGTTTAAATGAAGGAGTTGAGTGGTGAAGTGGAGAACATTGAAAGTGGTTATTTATAGGGGAGAGAATGAGTGTGGGAGGGACACGTTGGTGACATTCTTCAGCTTGCATGGCTATGGCTTCCAATTTTGTTACACCTCATGAGCTTTGTGGGTCTTCACTATGATCATGCATGGCATAAGCGTCCAAACAATCAAATTGTTGGTATGCTTTGCTTTGTTTGTATGTGCAGGTGAATGAACAAGAGCAGAATTTGAGGTCCCCCTCTGCAGATTCTCCGCGTCACATACACTATCCTCTTGTACAATCAAATATTCTATTCATCCATCTTTTTTATACAGGTTTCGTTTGTAGACAAGAGAGTTAAAAAGAGATGTGAAATAAAATAACTGATATGACAGTAAAAGATAAAATAAATAAATAACATGGATATAGACATAATATAAGATAGTTATATTATGGTATCGTTCTCAATTTGGACTGTTTTACTTTAAAGTTTGTGACTGTATAAGAGATCCTTAATTTTATCCCACTTAACGTTTGTAAATAATTATTTTTTGACAAAGGATATTTTCTATTAGTTGAGATATCAATCTTTTGAGATGAGTACTTATAAATATCTATCAATTTTTTTCTTTGATCTCTTTTTCTGTTTCTTTTTTTAACATCGTGTCTCCATTCTTTTACACTTTTTTTAATTCTTCTTTTCATACTACTATTCATCTATTGAGATGGAAAATTTACCTACCAAATAATAAATTTAGTTTTACAGGGGAAATTTATCAAATATACAGGGGTTAGTTTATAAGATTAAGATAGTATAAACAAGTTTATAAGTTTGAAAAACCTGTTAATGTTTAAGTAATAATGGAAAAAAAAATATTGTTTTTGAATAACCTTTTTGCTACATACTCAAAAATCAATCAACGTTTGTACCCTTTGTTATATATTAAACAACGTCTTCACATGACTTAATTATTTACTAAAATGTCGGTACTAAATTATTAAATGTAGATAATTGGTTTAACTACTTTTACACTTAATCGTGTTCAGTTTTAATTATTTTCTCATTCAAATATATATACGAATAAAATTTCTTTAACCGAAAGATAATGTGGTCTATAAAAGAATATATGATTTATAATATAAGCAGATAAACAATTACTTGGTTAAATTAAACATACATTCTATTAACTAAAAATAATTACGTGATGTAGGTTGAGAGAGAAATGAATAAAAGAAAAAGTGGCTGAGGCTGAGACACGTAGGAGAAGGTGACAACACGTATACACTAGTGCTGTAGAATGTGTAGCCACTGTTCAGTGTGCATATTATTATTCATAGCTATCATATCATATCATATAACTTAACACGTGCCTCGCTACAGAGCAGAAAATACAGAGGCGTCGATTTTATGCCTACCCGATAAGATCCGTAGATCTGTTTGGATTCAACATTATAACTTAACTTATGACGGATTCTAGCGTCGGGATGAAAACATCTCGCTCACCGTGCGAGACATATATCAAGTATTGGATATATATTTAGCATATACCATTTAATATTTTTACATGTATTAAATTTTTAAATGGATATCAATATTTATAAAATAAATATTCTATAGTAGTTAGAGATTAATTTACTATTCATATTTTGGAAATTTACATGTCTGATAAGTCTTGTAAATTGTCTTATTGAAGTCATTATTTACATTTTTAAATAAAATCATTTTTAAGTAATGTTATGATGGAGGCATTATATCTATACTTACACGAATCAGATCGTCTTCCTAACTCGAATAAGTCGTCTCTTCTATTGAGCCTGGCTGAGAGTGTACGAGGTTGATTGGTGGAACGAATTCCTTCTCTTCGGTCTCCTTGCTCGGGCGTCTCGGATGTACTTGCAAAAAGGACTCCGACGATCAAGTTAGTCTTTTTCCTTCGTTCATTATCATACTTATCCTTTACCTGAGTGGAGCGGTTTTCCGATGTAACTGTTGTAGCGGTTATCCGAGATGAGTTAACTATGGTTAACTCGGTCATTATTATCACGTGTTATATATTCGACGTTCTTTATATACCTTGGTATTGGTACTACTGACTTCACGGTCTCAGTCAGCTAATGTTTAGTCAACATTCTTATGTTATAATCTTGGCGTGACCTCGGTTTCACATCGGGGATGGGATATGGATCTCGGTGTGACCTCGGTCCTCGTCCAGGGTGGTACATAAGCTCCCAAAGCTCTGAGCGATGTAAGAGCGAAAGAGTTTGAATACAAAGTAAGATGGCCGAGGTCCCGTGGTGATGTGTCACAGCCCAGAAGAAAATCAGAAGTGACATGAGGGGTCACAGTGCTTGAGTGGTGACATTTGTGCAGTGAGGGGTTATGTCGTTTCATGATACACGTGGTAGAAGTGACGGGGTGCCATTAATTGGGCGGCGAATGCGAAACGATGGTCGCATGGGGAAGTGTGGAAAGTAAAGGAAATGCTTGAAATATGGAGGGACGCGAAAATAAGAATTTAAATGGGCGTACGCCTCCTACTGGAATATCATTTGTGCAAAGAGACGCGAGAGAGGAAGTGCTACAGTGCCAGCGTTATTCACTTATTTTGGGCGTTTCCAGGTATGTACTGATTCTTTTGTGTTTGAAATTGCATTTGCGGTCCGTGCGTAGCTTATAGGTGTGGGTTGATAAACAAGGGTAGGATGAAAAGTGGCAAAGGGAAGAGTAAAATGGCGGAGACGGAGGAGACGAAAATGCGAAAGAGAGGAGGGAACAACCGGAAGGACTCACATCCTAAAATAGAAGCATCTAGGTACGAGTGGGTGAGGGGTGATGTAGGGAAGTATACCAGCAAATTTGTGGATTTAATGGGGGTGAGCGTGCTGGAGCATCATCTGAGGTTTTGTGTACCACCCATGCTGGGGCGAATTATCATAGAACCCTGTACTTCTGAAGAGCGCGTGTACTGTGAAGGTTCCAGTGTGTCACCTAGCGTATATATGTATAAATGTGTGCTTAAAGATTTAGGTGTGTTAATGCCATTCACCCCGTTCGAATGTGAATTTTTGGAAAAGGTGAATGTAGCACCAAGTCAATTACATCCGAATAGTTGGGGCTTTCTCCGTGCGTTCCAGATTCTCTGTGCAGTGTTAGGAATAGAAGTCAGTGTAGCAAGGTTTATGCATTTCTACCGAATAAAATTAGGAGAGCCACCGTTCGGCTGGGTTTCATTGAGTGGGAATTTGAAAGGAGGGGGGTTGTTTCAAATATTTGCCCAATCCTACAAAAACTTTAAAGAAGAGTTTGTTAAAGTTCGGTCGAGTTGTAATGATTCGATGTTGGACTGTGTCTTTTTTTGGAATGGAAAACCAAGGTTTCCTTTCTACTAGCAATCTCGGCCTGTAAAATTTACTGGGTCAGAGGGTTTAGAGTTGTCCCCATCCGAGGTGGAAGATATAGGGAAATTGGAGAAACTGCCTCGGCCCTTAGAAAGCAAGTCGATTTTAATGCTTGCTGGATCAAAGAATCCTCAAGAGGATTTAGAAAGTAAGTAATAGTTGTAATATTAACAACGATTAAGCAAGTCGTAGAGTTATTTATTTTGTACCTGAGGTTACTATGGTTGATTTGATGCAGGCATCATGGGGAGGAGTAAGTGGCTCGAATTAAAGGGAAAATTCAACCTCGAAGAAATTCCTGATGCTGCTTCTCCCAAAAAGAAAATTAAGAAACAAAAAATAGAAGGTGCAACTAGGGGTTCAAGTATACCAAAGGTTGAGGAGAATGTAAAGAGTGATGCAAAGGGTGCTGCCAGCCTGAAGACTGCTAACCCAGGGAGTGATGTTGGTCCGCCAGGGGAGGAGAAAAATGTTGTGATTGATCTAGAAAAAGAGGATGTATGTCCCTTAACACTGCAATTAAAATAATTTGTTGAGGTGTTAAAAATAATTTGTTGAGTGTTATTTTCCAACGTATCTTTTCTTGTAGGTTGCCAACACCAAGGTCCCTGAGCCCCAAGTACACTTGAAGTCGGCCGATACTAAAATTCCCGAGTTGTCGGAACAGTTAGTATCCAACTTGGAGACCACAATTGCGCAACTCGAATTCAACTCTCCAGTTTCGCAAGGGGGATCCTCCCAAGGTGGGTAGACAAATCGCCCGAGATCATTGCACCAAAGATACGATGTCGAGCATCCCCTGACAAGGTTGGATCATATAAGTATGTTGCCAGATGTGACGTCGCTCTGGAGTGCCAAGTTAAAGGCAGAATCATTTTACAAGGAAGACCCAGCTTACATTGCTGACAAAGCTTTAATCGAGAAAGTTGGGGCTGTTGAAGGGTTGGATTTGGTGCAAGTGTTTCTGCAGAGGTCTATTTCTGTAGTAGACCATTGGAAGAAAAAATGGAATAAAAATGCTATGCAGATGTCTAAACTGAGGACCGAGAATTCCCAAATTGGACCTTTGAATGCTGAGATTGGCGAGCTGAAGAAAAAATTAGAAGAGAATTCAAAGGCTTTTGAGATATCGGTTAGATCAAATAAATCGTACGCGGCCAAAGTAGAGGACCTCTTGAAGAGGGTGAATTTGCTGGAAAAAGAGAAAGGAGCACAAGCAGAGAAAATTGTGTCACTGGAGAAGAAAGTAACAGAAGATGGGGGGAGTATTCAAAAAGATGAGGGGAGTATTCAAAGTTTGAAGGGCGAGATGGTGGAACTTTATAAGAAGAATAGGGCCTGTCAAGAGGTTATTGCTACGAACGTGAGGAGGATTGGAGAAATTGAAAATGAGAATAGGAAACTAAAGAAAGAAATTGAGACTACTGAGTACCAAGTGGTTGTAGAGCACAAGAGGGGATACTCTAAGGCCCTGCGGCAAGTGAAGTTCATTGCTTCGAGCATTGACCTATCAGATGTTGATATCAGCAAAGATGTCTACAAGGGGAAGTTGGTCAACAAAGACGACATTGCTGATGAAATGAGGAGTGAAGAAACCAATGAGTAATTATATGTATTGACTAAGTGGTAGGGTATTTGGT